AAAGTGTAATTTAGTAAGCACTGCAGTGATTCCATTACACTAAGGAGAAGAGCCCCAGATTCACTGATGGCTACTAAAACCTTATCTTCAAATTGCCCCCATTACCTTGCCTGTGCCATGCCTTATGATTCTATGCAAGATGCACATGTTATGCTTCCATGTAAAAACACTATTAGGAATTTTGTGTGACATCAGTGCCCACAAACTGTGTGTGAAGGCTTCACACACAGTCTCTTCCCCATGCACGTTTCTCTTCAGCTGCAAGATTCTCCCCTGAGTGGCAGCAACATCTTCATAAATTGCCAGGTGGCATAATAGTTATGAGGAGGGCATCACTCAGGAGTAGCAGCTGTTTGGCTGGCTAAAGGGAGTCCACTGGTGATGGAGTAGATGGTGAATGGCTATAGAAGTGCAAAGTCTTTCCAATTACGTGTGTGTGTGTGTGTGTGTGTGTGTGTGTGTGTGTGTGTGTGTGACAGAAAGAATGTGTGTGGAAAGTTGGGTTGGGTTTTCTGGGGAGGTGAGCTGGACAGTGATCTCACCTGTTGGCCTCATCCATCCCAAGCACATCTCCTGGAACACAAGAACAAGTATAAAGTCTTCCCAATTACATATCTGTATTATGTGTATGTGAGACAGAAAGAATATGTGTGGAAAGTTGAGTTGGGAGGTGAACAGGACAATGATCTCCCCTGTCTATGCTGAACTCATCCATCCCACCCCCAGGCACATCTCCTGGAACAAGAGTACAAGTGCAAAGTCTTTTCAATTACATGTATGTGTGTATGTATGTGAGACAAAAAAAAATGTTTGTGGAAAGTTGGGTTGGGTTTTCTGGGGAGGTGAGAAGGGCAGCAATATCATCCAGGACTGGTCTCATCCATCCTACCTCCTGCAACACAGGGACAAGCTCCTTGCAGCAGTAAAAATCTTTGTATCAAGGAGCAGTAATGAGACGTGGAGTTGAAGGAGACCAGCAGAAGACACTAAAGAGGTCTACAAAGTTGACTATTCCAAACAGAGTTGGAGAACATATTTAGAAGAATTTAGCAAAGAGAAGAAGAGCAAATACTTCCAACACTGGAAGTTTTTAAGAAGAGACTGGACAGCCATTTGTCTGAAATGGTATAAGGCAGACATGTCCAAAGTCCGGCCCGCGGGCCATTTGCGGCCCGCGGCCCGGTTTAATCCGGCCCTCGAGCAGCCCTCCCTGCTCTATATAAATGCGGCCCTCCCACGGCCCTCCGGCAAGTCCCATGAGAGAGAGAGAGAGAGAGAGAGAGACAGAGGCACTTGCACTTCTGTCTCTCTCTCTCTCTCTCTCTCTCTCA